CCAGTGGTTCAGAAACTGATAAATAATCCAATCTTTGCTCGGCTTGAGTAATACCACTATCACAATCTGGAAAGAAACTGACGGCACGAACGCCGCCAATCTCGACTAGCCTACATTTCTTGCATCATAACAAGGACCCCATCCTGGAAGATGTGCTGCGACAAAACACCAAAACTCTTCATAGTTTCCTTCAAACCCTTCCTCCGAATCGTACATTGGCCGCCTCGCGATCTCTGCCATTTCGAAGGAGCCACTGATCACAACACTCGTCTCAGTAGACAGTGTTTCGACATGTGTTGCACATGGCTGAACCACTGCATTTAGTGTTTTCAGATGTTTTTTGCAGTTGAAGTACCTGCTACAGAACCAACTATCCACTTTCCAGTTACCTCTTTATGAATTCTTTGAGGCTCTCCGACACCAGCAACGCCTCTGAGTTATTAGTGGTAAAACATCTGAAGATGACTGATATCTGTCCATAAGGCCCTCGTGTCGCAAACCTACATTAATACACCACTTACTGATTCTAGTCTTTGAGATTCGTGTACTGACCTCATCAGATAAACCCGTCAGAGCGAATGCAAATACCGAGGTGTGTAAAATTCTGTACAGTCTCCCGCGATTCTCTTTGAAATGCAAGGGGTGTGTTCAGAGACTGCACTATTTGACGCATAACTTTACACTTTGAAGGCGTTGTGCACATGCCGAAAATTGGTTCTTCACCTTGGTCCCCAGATATGACAATGATATTGTCTGCATATTCTAGATCGGCAAAATTCTCACCAGCATTAATTCGTGCACCGGGGTTTGGAAGGCCATTCATCGTCCGTTTCATTATTTCATCAGTGACGGAGCACAAAATCCGTGGACACCCGCATCAGCCATCAATTTTTGAGGGCTCGTACACTTTCATAAGTCCAGTGTAAAGAAACCGGATTATGTTCACAAACCCCTGGGGCATGCCATGTGAAGCAAGTGTGGTTAACTCTACTGACAGGTCGACAAAATTCCACACGCCATTGAAGTCAAGGGATACCAGAATTCTGGATCATCGGTACATATGGCGTTGCTGTGACATTCAACGGAATGTGATGATGTGGTTGACGCAGCCTCTTACTAATCAGACTTGCGCTTGATTTCCACGGTTAAGGCATTCGCACACCGCGGTAAGACGAAGAATCGCTGAAACCAGCAGCCTCATTATAACGGGAGTCAAACTAACACATATATGGTTACCATACTCATTGGGAGTGCCCTTCGTGATAATGGGCCCTATTATTGGCTTACCCTTGTTTTCTAGAACAGTCTTCTCCAAAATGGACGCAGATGGGTTCTACAGGTACCACCTGCTCAGCACTTCAGTCCACTCTGTAGTCTGGCACGCAGGTCCTTTGAAATCACATGCAATGCGCTTTTGATGCTACAACTGACCACAGGCTCGTGCATTGATTTTGTCGCACCACTTGACAACTTCCGAGATGGGTATAGTGCTCTGCTAGCTCTCGTATCCGTAATTCAGTTCCTAGAGGTATGCTCAAATACTGCATGGCCCACAGCACTTTATAGGTGCGATGCACTTAACAAAAGGTTGGATGAACCTGATCAGCCTTTCTAATGATGGTTCTTCTACGTCGATAAGGTTTTTGCTGAGAAATGAACAGCGGGTTTTAGCGGATTTCTGGACTCATTACTGCACCAGTGACGAAATTAAACAGGAGATTGAGAGGGTGGGGATTTCTATCCAACACCATTATTTGTACGGATGCCAAAACATGAATATAAAGGACTACGATATCCACGAACTTCTCTGTTGCACATGTGTGTTGGGAACAACCAATCGGTTGACAGAACCGAGTGCACTTTTGAAATCAATAAACACCAAGATTATCTGGCATGTGTACGCGTGTAGTTGGTGTGACACTTCACGTAATGTGAAGAATATGGTCCGCATCACTCTTCCAGGAAAGATTACTGCATGATGTCCTCGTGCCACGTTTTCATGTGTTCTCTTGAGACAGCGTAAAACAAGCGCTTCAAAGTGTATAATTACAACGGTGGTCAAGCGATTTCCTTTTTAATAGCCACACTCAGTGTGAGAAGCATTTTTGTGAATAAATACTACTCCAGACTCACTCCAGTAAGCTGGGACAATCCACTTAATTCAGATGATGGCAAATAAGTTAGATGGGTAATGGGTGAGAATTATACATCCCTCCTTGAACAGAGGTGGAAGGAATTCGTAGGGGACAACAGCTTGAGATAGAAGTGGCATCCGCGTACTTCCGGATCCGTCGTTGGCCTCAACTTTACTGTCTGTAGTCGAGGATTCGGTTGATAAATGCCAGGTACTCGGTTGAGTTTGTTTGGAAGGCATTCAGCTCACGGATCCTGGTGCTCTTTAGAGATGAATGAGTCGCCTTTATCTCTGATTTTCGATCACTGGAGGCATTTTTGAATCTGACGCTGGTGTCCATCACGATAGTCTTCGCAAATCCCTATTGACGGCGAACGTCTATGTCACGGGTCTAACCGTAGCAACAAGATGACGAGCGGAGAAGAAGAGGATATGCACAGGAGCTAGGTTGAAGGCCTCAAGAATAAACTGTTTTCACCTACCCGTCCAGCAGTATGCAGCACATAGCGTGACCCGGCTAATGACACCACGCGACGATCGTCATATATATATATATATATATATGGGGCGAGGTGGCACA